GCATTTCTTATTTGTATATGGTGCCCTCTAATGTCCAGAAGCTCTACTCTCTTGAGCTGCTCAGCTTCTGGGGCAATGTTGGGGGTTGCAGGAGCGGTGTTGTTGCCTTGGGGGAGGAAAGAGCTGTCTGCTTCCCGGCCACTATGCCTCTCTCCACTGCCAGAACCAGTGGGCTGAGCACACAGGTATAAGCCTCTATGCTTTGCATTTGTAGTTGCTGTAGATAGAGCTTCCCTCTGGCTGGCCTAACGCCAGGGTAGGGTTTGGGTGGGGCTGGCCGGGAGAAAGCACAATAGGCTGCCTATCACAGAGGGCGTCCTTGGAGCTGTGTTGCCAGCCAGGGAGCTGGAGTACGTGGAAATTGTGAAAGCTCCCAGTCATCTGGGCAGAGTGCACCCGGACAATTTTGTCTACCTGTCCTTTCTCCTGAGCAGTAAGCTCTGTGCAATCCTTGCCCCTTTAGCAGCCTTCTTCTTAGGGCTTCCTTGTTAGGAAGTCTCTCAGACTGCCCAGCTTTCTTTTGTCCCAGAGCAGCTGGATATGGATCCCTGCTTTCCACAAGCGGCTGGAATCTCAGTCTCTCCAGGAATTCTGCCTGTCTTAGTTTTCCAATCCCCTAGTTATGAGAGTATCATGAAAGCACCTTGAAATGTAGGTTTGTGCTCCCAGATCAGGTCTCCAGAGCTAGGTATTCAGCAGTCCCTGGCTTCCACCCACTCCGTGCTCCATTTCTCTTCCGGCCGTGAGCTGGGGTTGGGGAGGGGCTCGGGTCCCGCCGGGCCTCAGCCTTGGTACGTTACCCTGTTCTGTGATGTCTGCTGTTTTCTCCAGGTGTGTGCATGCTGGCGCAGTCCTTTCCTGTTCTTTGTCAGGATCAGTTGTATTAATTATGTTTTCGTATTATATGCGGTTTTAGGAGAAGCCTCTGTCTCACCTCTCACGCCGCCATCTTTAATCCTGATGATACACTTTTATTCCCAGCCCATGTCTCCTTCTGTTTTCAGCCCGGTCACGGCCTGGTTAGTTCCCAGGAGGCAACTTGTGGGAGGCCGGCAGATGCTCATGGTGATCTGAGCCCTCAGGGGCTGTCCGCCCTGTCACACAGCTGTCTTCTTTCATCTTAGGCCACTGGATGGGCCCACCTGCCTCTCTGAGATGCACACCTGGGCTCTGCTGCAGGTGCTCCATGGCGACATTGATGTCCTCTTTCCGGTCAGCGCAGTGGGCTCCTAGGCCCTGCAGGTGGGTGTTTCCTGCTTACTCATTTCCTCCCATATAAGCCTTGGCTCCAAGAGCCTCAGGAGTGTCTGGGTTACCTGTGCAGGTAGGAGTGGGAGGGGGGAGGCTGGTTGAGATTAGAGGTGACAGAGGATCTGGCTTCTCTTCCTGCTGAACCTGGGTGTTGTTAGATGCTCTTGTGAGTGAGTCACCCAGGAGGCCCAATCCTATTTTTTTTTCTTTCCAGTGATTTGTTGAGCTTGGTCATTTATGTACAAGATGACTGCAAATGGTGACCATTGTTTTTTCCTTCTTAGGAGAAAGGAGGTCACAGAACCCGTAACTGTGAAGGTCTTGGCACTCTCTGCAGCATAGGTCTAGGGGATCAGGGCTTAGCTTGCTTGAAACCTGCCTTTGGATTGGGTAAGCATTTCTGTCCCATTCCATGGGATTGAGTATGCTTTGTGTGGTTCCTTACTGTTTTCTTTAGCTAGAGAAGGTCACAGGGGCAGCGAGGTTTGGGGTGGNGGACTATTGTTCTTGCTGCCGTGTGGGGAACAGAAACCCACTCAACGCAGCTCAAGCGCAGGGGCAGGGCGGGGACAAGGAGAGGCAGCAGTCTGCGGTGGGGGTCAGGTCAGCCCCCCTCTGGCAGTTGCGGGAGCTAGGCTGGGAGACCTCTGAGAGCAGTGAGTATTCCTGGTGGAAACAGGCTGATGGGAGGGGTGGCTGAGTGGCGTTATCTAATAGGCTCATCTCTTTTGGAAGGTGCAGTCGGTGGTGAGAGTGACAGCCAACACTCATCAAACCCTCGACGTAGGTCTAGGGCTGTAAGGTGGCCCACATGCACGCACCCACCCTGACCACAGCCCATGGGGCAGGGGTGGTTATCACTGTGTCCCCTTCCTCCCAGATTTGTGGTCACTGTTCCCCAGGTTAATGTGGGAAGAGATGAGGCACAGTGCAACATGACAGGGTATTTTGTGGGTACCCGTGGGCTTGGGAGCTGGGAACTTGGAGTGGAGGGGCTCCTCACCTGGCCAGGTCATTCTGAGCCCCCACACTCCCTCACAAGGCTGTCTGTACTCCGCTGAGGTGCAGACCATCGCCGCAGCCACGGCCTTCCATAGCAGCGAGCAGGTGCTGGGTTTCAGCTGACTCTCCCAGAGGTGCCATCTGGTGGGCCCTGCTTGGGTCTGCACGCCCCTCCTTCCACTCAGGTGGCGTCCTTGGTGCAGACGGCCGAGGACGGGGATGGTTATCTCGCCCCTTCAGTGGCGGTGTGCAAGCCGTGGGATGTCTGAGAAGGGGGCAGGCTGCAGACAGCATGTGGTCCTGAGGTGTGTTTAGGGCCCCTGACGTTCCCAGAGTTTATTCACGGCTTCCAGCTGATTACCTTGTGTCACCCCCTGACCGAGGGGGCTTTTTTGTTGGGCTGTTCTGTTTCAAGTGGTTCCTTCATTTCTTAACTGGATTCTTCCAAACTAGTAGACCCTGGGGTCTGCTGGCTGCCTGCTCCTGGGACATGGCTATTTGTGGTTCACATTGGGGTTAGCCTTACAGAACCCAGCACTCTCTCTCCCTCGCTGGGCTCTCCACTGTCACCAGGGAAAGTGGCTTCTGGCAGGCCTCCAGAATCATCGCAGGAAGGCGCCCCCGGCAGATGCACCCACCCTGACCACAGCCCATGGGGCAGGGGTGGTTATCACTGTGTCCCCTTCCTCCCAGATTTGTGGTCACTGTTCCCCAGGTTAATGTGGGAAGAGATGAGGCACAGCGCAACATACAGGGTATTTTGTGGGTACCTGTGGGCTTGGGAGCTGGGAACTTGGAGTGGAGGGGCTCCTCACCTGGCCAGGTCATTCTGAGCCTCCACACTCCCTCACGAGGCTGTCTGTACTCCGCTGAGGTGCAGACCATCGCCGCAGCAATGGCCTCCATAGCAGCCAGCAGGTGCTGGGTTTCAGCTGACTCTCCCAGAGGCGCCATCTGGTGAGCCCTGCTTGGGTCTGCAGGCCCCTCCTTCCACTCAGGTGGCGTCCTTGGTGCAGACGGCTGGACGGGGATGGTTATCTCGCCCCTTCAGTGGCAGTGTGCAAGCCGTGGAATGTCTGAGAAGGGGGCGGGGCTGCAGACAGCACGTGGTCCTGAGGTGTGTTTAGGGCCCCTGACATTCCCAGAGTTTATTCACAGCTTCCAGCTGATCACCTTGTGTCACCCCCCATTCGAGGGGGCTTTTTACTTTGGCTGTTCTGTTTCAAGTGGCTCCTTCATTTCTTAACTGGGTTCTTCCAAACTAGTAGGCCCTGGGGTCTGCTGGCTGCCTGCTCCTGGGACATGGCTATTTGTGGTTCACATTGGGGTTAGCCTTACAGAACCCAGCACTCTCTCTCCCTCGCTGGGCTCTCCACTGTCACCAGGGAAAGTGGCTTCTGACAGGCCTCCAGAATCATCGCAGGAAGGCGCCCCCGGCAGATTCCCAGGGTCCCATCTGGCTGTCAGCCTCGCAGACCCAGAGGCCCTATCTTGTCACTGTTGATGGGACTCTCAGTCCCAGCTTATCTCGGTTGTGTGCACCAGAGATGGTGTGTGTGAGCTGGTCTGCCAGCTTTTTAATTTGCTACAGTGACAAAGCTGCCAGGTGTTTTGGAAGCCTGTGTCCGCCTGAGGGGCAAACCCGCCTGGGTGGGAACATCAGATGGGAAGGCACAGTGTTCTAGGGCCACATGAAGACACTGGAATCCGAGTGGGGGGAATCCGTTACCTGATTGGAATGCATGTTGGGTTGATTCCCTTCTGGCCTGGTGCTCCGTCTCCAGGGGAGGCACGTGTGCCAGGTGGTGCTGGGCTGGCCTGCCTGCCCTGGGCCCTGCCCGCACTCCCCTCCCAGATGCCTTTTCTTTTACTCCGTTTCTGACCAGGGTCCCTTTGGCTGACACCCTCCTCCTTGAGCAGCACTAGCCTGTTCTCCCCCATCCTGGCCTGGGAGCCATAGCGTGTCTCTACTGATGACTTTGCACACAGAGGACTCGTCCCTTAGGAGGCGCTCCCGTCATCTTGGAAGACGTTGGTGCCTCTACTACCACTGTCTGTGGGGGTTTTTAGAGAAAGACCGAGAGAGGAGGATAAAGTGGGAGGGGAGCACGTGGTGGGGAAGGATGGACGGCTTGGGTAGCTAGGTCTTGGCAGGGAGAAAGCAGCAGAGAAGGGGTGTCTGAATCTTAGAGGAGGGGGCTCTGCAGTTTAGTGGTCTGTACTTCAGAGCTGTATTTTTAGGGCTCGGGGGCCTCACAGAAGGGAGACCCCATTCCAGCATCACACGAGACCTGACAGGCGGGTTGGAGGAAGGGATACATCAGTTCCTCTGGGCCTGCATTTACTCACAATGAAGCCACACATGTTTACTAGCATCCTTTTGAAGCTGCAAGGGAGGGCGATCCCCCAGAGTTTCTCTCAGCTGAGAATAACAGGAGGAGGTGAACAAGCACCCATTTCTACCTACTGCACATGTGACGGTTCCTGATTGCCTCTCGGTGGAAGGGCCTGCGCTTAGTGTTGGGTTAGTAAACACACAGTTTCTGAAGGCTAGCTTTGGTTCGTCTGTGACCTTGACCCCCTTCTCTTCCAGGTGGGTCTACCATTCAGGGCTTCTCCTCATCCTGCGGTGGGTCTCTGCAGATTCCCAGGGTCCCATCTGTCTGTCAGCTGGCTGAGGCGGAGGAGCTGCTGCTATAGTCCTGCTCTCCTCTGAAGTGGCTGATTGCTCCCCCAGGGTAGTTTTACTGTTTGGACTCTTAGATTGGGTGGTGGTTGCAGGGCGTTCATTGTGTTCCTGCCCCACTGATGGGGCTCACGGGCCACTGGGGTGCACAGTTTTCTTTACTCCATCCTTGGGCGATCCTGTTATGCACTAGCACCATGCCAGCTCTGGGGACCCAAAGGCGAATCCCTCCTGGAGTTTTGCATGTAAGGAGGGGAAGATCCATCAATAGTTCTCTCTGCTTCAACCCTGCAGCTACCCTGTCCTTTCTTCTTTTAGCAAACAGAGTGGTTTTATAAGAACATGAATCAGAGTGCATCATTACCCTGCATAAACTGTTCCACCCCACTTGGGATAAAACCCGGAACCCTCACTGTGGCCACCCCTGCTCCCGACCACCCCGCAGCCTCACTTCTTATTTCCCTTTGCTTGGTATCCCTGGCCACACTAGCCTGCATGCAGCTTCTGGAACCGAGTCTGCAGCCCCCTCTCCTGCATCTGCCCCCTCTGCCCATCCTTCAGGTTGTGGCCCTAGGGTCGCTGTCTCACAGAGGCTTCTCTGGCTCCTTGCAGACAGGCCAGGCCTTGTTGGTCATAAACCTTGTGTATTTCCAGTTTTCCACTGCTCTGACCTTAGTTTGTAATTGTATATTTGTATAATTACTTGCTAATGCCTTTTCCCACTGCTAGTCTTGGAGGTCCATGAAGACAGGACCATGTCTGTTTTGATTCCAGTGTGACCCCGATCCTGGCCAGTGTCAGGCCCACAGTGGTGGCTCAGGAAGCCTTTGCTGGGTGGGTGAGTGGGTGAGGGGATTGATGCGGTATATAGGTAGGGTTGGGGGCATGCAGGGAGTGGACATCTGGCAGTTGGAAAAGTGATGTCCAGTTGGAGACACAATGTGCACCAATGAGTGGAGGTGGGAACTCCAGGGACATGTAGATAGAAAAGCACATATCTCAGATCAGCTGAATGAAACTATGATAAGGGCTCAGCTCTGCCATGGAGCAGAGAGGGGTTCAAACCCTCGCATATTGGCGCTGTGGTCTTGGACAAGTCACTTGAACCCACGAGGCCCTACTGCACATCTGTAAGGTTAAGATAACAGTTGCACCCACCTCAGAGGGGGCCCTGAGGATGAGTGAGGCAGTCTGTCTCTGCGACTGCACTGTGGCCCCAGTGCCTCAGGCCCGCTTCAGCTGTCCTGGGCCATGGTTGTGTATTATCAAGGGCAGCCTACTTGGGCCAAGTGGGTGTAGTGTCCGTGGTGCTTGACAGTGGTGGTCTTTATGCAGCCATGGGTTTCCGTTGTGTGTGTTGCATCCCGTCTTCGCTTCAGGAAGCAGCATCAGGCAGCCTTGTGTGAGTTAGATGAGAGAGGGTAAGATGGAACTGGGGGGACCTCTGCACTAGACCCCAAGAACGCACTGAGCCTTCAACTAGGGTAGCCGTGGAAATGGCTTGTGAGCCAGGGTGGGAGATAATTGGGTGGAACTGGGAGGTCGTGGATACCACGTAGCTCTGTGATGGCCAGCGGGGTGGTGTGGGCACTCTTCTGAGGTCGCAAGTCAGGAGTGGTGACAGGAATGGTTTTGTAGGTCATGGGTAAGTTGGGAGGCCCCAGAGGGTACCCCAGGGGAGCTTTCTGCCAGAGAGATGTGGGAGTAGGATTGAGGCTGAGGCCCTCGGCTGTGGTGAGGGCTTGGGTGGCATCAGCTGCACAGAGGCGAGCACTGGAGCCAAGCCCTGGGTTTGCCAAGGGGGCAGAGGCCATGGGGCTGTGCCTCGGGGACCTTCGTACTGGAATCAGAGAAAAAGAGGGTGGGGCGGAAGCGAAGACTATGTTAGGAGGCCAGGAGAGGAGCTCCAGGAGGAGGGCTTGCTTGGCCTGTCATCTGCCACCCCCGGGAGAGTCCTTTGGAACTATTTAAAAGAGGCAGGAGTGAGTGGATGGAATAGCTTAATGGAGGCAGCCGGGCAGAAGAAAAGGTGAGAAACCTTTCCTCCTAGGGTTCCCTCAGTTCAGCCTTGTAGGAGCTGGGGAGCCTTGAGCAGGACGAAACCAGGCGTTAAACAGGAGTGAGGGGGAGGCTGTGAGGGCTGAGGGCCACGAGGCGAGTCTCCGGCTCTGCGTCCCCTGTCCGCGGTGCAGGCCTCATTCTGTAGTGTCGGCGAGTCAGAAGCTTCTCCAGTGAGCCTGTGTTCCGGAGGACACTGGCCTTCATGTCACCGTACAGCCCAAGGGGCATGAAGTTGCACTTTTTCCTGGAAAGAGATGTGAACAGCAGCTAATACATTTATGGAAGTCTTCAGTGCCTTTTGCCTGTTGTTTCTGGAGATTATTTATGGCCTCACAAATCTTTTCTCACTTATGAATCCTTTCTCACTTAATGGCACATAATGCAGGGCAAGTGGCTTTTAGACTCCCAGTTTGGACGTGAGCCGACTGTCAGCGGCTAGACCATGCCTGCCCCCTTGTGCCCATATCAAGCCACTACAGCAGTAGTTTGTCTATCAGCTGACTTACTATTTCCTGACTCTGAGGTTTGTGCTAAATATGAACTTCATGCATGAATTCAAGTGGATCGAGATAAAAAAAAAGGTTAAGTGGGATTATGGGCCCTCCTCTCAGTGACTGATGCCAAATCTGTGATTATGGCTGAAAAAATGCAACAGGCAGCAGATTAAAACCCTGTGTGCAGATGTGGAAAGATTTGTAAATCAGCTGCTTTAGCAGATAAGCCAATGTCTGTTCTGTGTCCTTGTCTCATGGAGAAAGATGAGATGAAAACAGAAACTTGACTTTTTCTCTGTGATTCCTCTGTGCACAGATGCCCCCCTCGGAAGCCTGGAGAACGGACAGAGCCGGAGGACCACGTTCTCCCAGAGACAGACTCTCTGTATATGTTAGTATTCAGAAACCAAGTTGCCTTCGGAATTGAATTGTTCTATTCACAGTTCTGTATTTTATTCTCTCTTAAGGATAAGGGGGGCACCTGCTGAGATTAAAAGTCAAGGCTTTCCTTCCTGTTCGTGTTTGGGATAGTCTTACATCAGATAATGTACAAAGTTGCCAAGGATCTCAGAGCTTGAGAAGCAGTGTTGGTCACACTTGACTTGCCTACCACTTTACTTTTTACACTTTTGGGCCATATCTGGGTATCTCCTCTATAATTATTTGCTTGATTTTAATATGTGATAATATTGAACAATTTTAATATTGTGTACTATGTAAGCTGCTTAGATACCGTATATTTGTGAAGTGCTTAGTCTGGCATACAGCAGCAAGCACTCTGTGGGTTGTTTCTTTTTTCAAATAAAAGTTTCTGAAAGGGAAACCGAGTTGCCCCGAGTCATTGTGTATTAGGTGGCAGGGCTGAGACGGACACTCAGGTCTCCCTGATGCCACCACAATCCCTGTTACTCTGATACATTTCTCCTCCTTTCTCTTTATGGTTTTAATTTGGTGTCCCAGGGATATGTCACATTTGCATTTTTAATGAGCCCCAGGGTGGGAGTCACTGCTTACCTTACAGTCCTTTTTGCTGTTTACTTAAGAACATTTGGAAAATGCAACAGTAAATGAAGAAATATTATTCTCAACCCCCAGTTTCATTGATGGTCTGGCCCTTTTCTTCCTAGTTGTGTGTGTGTGTATGAACCATATTATGACCCTACTATTTTCATGAAAGATGTGAAGTATTATTTTTCCATGTTGGAATTTCTTTGTAAATATACAGTCATTCTTCATTGTTTGCGGCAGTCACCGTGAAGACCGAATCATCACCCTTAGGAGAAATACAGGGTTAGTCCCTGTGAACATCTGGTCACACTTTTGGTCAACTGATTAACGCATAACTTTGTTTTTGTCCATTCCTGTTTAAAGACATCTTATTTAACACGTTTTGTTGATTCACTGACATTGAACTCATGGCCCACAGCACTATAACTTAGGCTTTGAGTAAAGGTTACCTAACATACACATTTTCCACATAGTGAATATCACAGTCTTCTTGTGCTTAGGAGCACCAGACAGCACCTGACACTATGCTGGGGGCCATGTCCAAGAGCAGAATCACTAACAGAAAGCACAGGATGGCACTAAGTAGCCCACCCAAAGGACACGTTCCCTGTGTGATCATTAGAGCAGGCAGAACTCATCTTGTTTGATGTCAGGTGGGAGCATGAGCTTCGGTGACTCAGGTTTTTTGCCACCCAGGATATGTTCATGAATGACCAGGGAAGTGCCGTGAGTCTTGATCTTGGGTTACAAATAAACCTTATTGAGTAGGTGAATTTGCAAATATGGGATCTGCAAATAACGAGGACTGACTGTAACTTCAAAGGGTGGCCTCTGTTCCGTGTAGCAGGCACCTGAGTAAACTTGGCACCTGCAACTTTTTGAATGGTGAGGTGGCATTTTAAGTTGCTGAGTGTAACTTCCTTCTGCCTGCCTTTCCCCAGTGTGGAAGCCAGTCCTCCAGACCAAGGAAGCCCTCTGAGCAGCCTGTTAACTTCTTCCTCAGTGCCAGAGTCGATGACAATTAATAAGTACTTTCTGAGCCATATTTGTCAACACTGGGTTGACTCTTGGGCCTGCACATTATGCCGGTGCCTTTGCACTTGCTCCCACATGACTGTGAACTTGCCAGAGAGAAGTCGTATGTGTGCACATCTGGTCATCACCTTGAAGTGTGGTGCTTGGTTTTAAGCTTCCTGAGCTGTGGTTAACGTGTGGTGCTTGGGCCCATGCCTGCACTGCAGAGGTGGAGTGGCCTTGAGATAGACGGGGAGCTTGTGTGGTTCAAGGTTTTGGGGTTTGTGTCCTGTAAGGCTGTCGGCTACAGAAGAACTGTTCTATGTGGGTTTCCTTAATAGCGGTGGAGGAACCATTTTTCTAAGTCAGGGTTTGTTTCTTAGAGATGACTGAAGGTTGCTAAGGATCAGGTTCAAGCTGTTTGCAACCTCACCACTCAGGAACAGTATTAGAGATACGGCAGTTAAGATCAGGTTTGAGTGGCTTTATATAAGCAAGAATAAACCTACTGTGGCCTAACAAGATAGAAATTCATCTCTCTGTTCAGAGGTAGACAGGCTGGGGCTGGTACGTGGCTCTGTGATCATCAGAGACCAGGACTCCTCCTACCTTGCCTCATTGTCCAAAGTGCCTATTTCAGCTCCAGCCATCCCATTCTCATCCCAGGTATCAGGAAGGGGGAGGGGGAAAGAGGAGAGATTTCCTCCATTTCCGTAGGTAGGATTCAGGGATCTGAATTTGCATTGAGAAAGAAATTATAACTTTTTTCTCTAGCCTCTGACTGAACTGTAGCATTATCTTCAATTATAAAAGTAACAGCAAACCCTAGAAACCATAGTGGTGTTAGCAGGGGGCCTGTCACAGCTATGACATGAAAAGAATCTCAGAGTCATTTCTACTCGAAGATAGAGTGGCTTTTTAATGTGATGATAAAGAATCCCATATATTACTACGTCACTTTTGTTTTTTACATTTTGATGACTCTGTTTCAGTATAATCAGTTTCCTTTGTAATCTCATATGTTTTATTTTCTGTGTTTTAAAATATTTTTCCAAGAAGTGGCCCCTGGGCTTCACCAGGCTGAAGAATTGATCCATGGCATAGAAGAGGTGAATTTGGGGACTGCCCTCAGTCCCCAACGCTGTAAGGACCCTTCCTAGAGGGTGCACACAGCATCCCACTTATATGGCCAATACCAGTCCTGAGGCCTCCCCCTGACTGCTAAGGAGGCAGTGTACCCCCCAACCCCCTAAAAATTGGGGTTTTCATTGCTAAGGAAGGAAGAGTAGAGTTTGGGAGACAACCAGTGTCCTGTGATTCAAGGATGAATGAGGAAACGAGTGGGCACTGTGAGGCTGGCATGGTGGGAAGGACGGGCCTCACTTTGTACAGTGGGAGTGTGTGGCCCAGTACGGTGCTTCCCAGCTGTGAATTCAGCTGTGCGGATATTTATAGGTCACCTGCTTTGGGGGACTCATGGGCTGAGAACCCTGAGGGTGCTGGTTTTCAAATTTCAGTTATCTATCACTGTACTATTACTACAATTTTAAAAAATGGTGCACTTAAAAAAATCTGAATTCCTTTCTTCAGAAAGGGAACTTTATATGGTTACTGTAGATGGACAGCTACTTTCAGTGGACATGAATAGCAGGTGACTGTGAGATGAAGACAATGACAAGGAAACAGTGTTATTCAGTCGGCCTGGATGTTGCTGCCCATCACAGCTTCTGACTGAGACCTGCTTCCTTGTTAGAGAAGAGAGAGTGGGAAGTGAGAAGCCTTGGGAAGGTCGAGGGTGTTCTGGCGATACACTCCCAGTGTTTCCTGGGGAAACAGGATTGGAGAGGCGATGAGGAACGAGGTCCCGAGTCCCTGCTGGATGCCTTGCCCCTCGGCCTCTGCCGTGCCTTCTCTCTGTGTGGGCCACACCTTCATGCAGGGTGATGAGATTTGCTCTTAGGTGTATTGACCCTTAAGAACACTGGTGCAAATTTTGCTTTATTTACATTTATTGGATAAAAAACAATGACCCCGAGCCTGTGGCCATGAATACCATGCTTTGCAGGCCCCACCTGCGTCCACGGGCACCCTTGTGCGGTTTGGGTATCTTCGTTTCCCCCTCTGGTGGGTAGCCAGCATTGTACTTCCATGCGGATTTCCTGCACCCCAGGATGGGGTCCCCATCTCAGGTAAACGTGGTTTGCTTTGTCAGCTGCCCTGGGGGTCTGCAGGGATCATGACCTGGCTGTGTCCCTCCGCTGTTTCCTGACACTGGGGAAGGTGCTGGCTCTGCTTGGGCATTTTCACTAAGGACATCCCTCTGAACACCCTCGAGTGATGCTCATGGCAGGGATTTGCACTGGTTTTCTTGGCTGTACTCATACACTTTCCCAGAAAATGTAAATCCAGTTTTATGACTTGGTGTCTTTGGCAAGCAGGGGTATATCCAGAGTTTACGCCTGGAACCTCTGAGGAAATGGGTCGCTATGTGCACGTGGTGAACCTGGCTGCTTTGCAGTAACGTGGTTTGTGGGGGGTGGTTGTGTGCAGGGTGGGGGTGGCGGTAAATTTCAGGGAGACTTTGGGACAGCACTGTGGTCCACCCTGTTTGTGTTCTAGGTGAGAGATCAGGATTCGTAGACGCTTTGAATGGAGGGTAGTTTTGACTTGTGTCTCCCCTCATCCTGTACCATCTCCTGCATCAGAAGAGCAAGTCTGTCTGGGTATCCAGGGTGCATTTGTTTGCTGGCCCCACTGTAACAAAATACCACAGACTGGGTTACTTAAGCAACAGACACTTAGTTCTCACCATTGTGGGGGCTGGAAGTTCAAGGTCAAGGTGCTGACAGGGCTGGTTTCTGATGAGGCCTCCCTCCTGGGCTGCAGACGGTCTTTCTGCTCACACATCCCTGTTCTTAAATGGGCACCAGTCCTATTGGATTAGTGTCCCACCCTTAGGACTTCCTTTAACCTCAATTACCTCCTTAAAGGCCCTGTCTTCAAATGTAGTCACATTGGGTGGGGGTCAGGGCTTCAACATGAACTTGGGGGACACACACGCTTCAGTTCATAACATGGGGCATCTCAGACATGGTGTCCCAACGCCTACCCAGCTTCTGATTGAGAATTGCGTCTCAGCACGTGAAGCACCCCAAGGGAGATGCTCGACCCTCAGAAACCCCGAAAGAGTCTGGCAAGAGACTCCTGAGTCTGTGCTCCCCAGGGCTCCCTGGCAGCTTCCTGGCTCATTTCACACTTGGTACAGGTGGCCGCCCTGGCATTGCAGTCGAGCTAGAGTGGTGCACTAAATCCCTGGTATTCGGGGTAACTGACAAGTCCTCTGGCAAGCAGCTTTCCCCTCTGGGAGAGTCTCTGACATGGCAAAGGGATTTGTTCTGGCCTTTTGGGCATATGTGCTTGTCCTTATCTAGTGCCCAAGAGAAGGTGGTGCAGCCAGACCCATGTTACTGCCCTCTCTTTCCACAAGGCCCTTTGGTGCTGGAGAAAACACAAAGCCTGTGATGAAAAATGGATTTATTTAGTGAAGTAGTAAAGACAGTTTCCAGCAGCCCAAACACCCATGCTTCTGTCTCTGCAGGTAGGTTTGTAATTTGTGTTTGGGTGTGCAGAGCTGTCTGTGGCCGTCACTGCATCATGCCTGTTGCTTTGGGGGGCAGTCTGCTCACCCAGCCTGGAGGGCACGCTTGGAAGCCGTTCCAGCTGGTGGCCTCAAGCCTCTGTGGGCCTGTTTCCTTCTCTGAGCGTGCGGATGTGATGAACCCCATCTTGTATGGTGGGTGT